ACCTTTAGCCCCCCCCCCCCCCCCCCCCCCCCCCCCCCCCCCCCCCCTGGTTGCTCTCCCTGGCTGACAAATACAGCTAGCCCAGGAAAGTCCTCGATCGAGCGCTCCTGAGCTTGCACCAGCGCCCAAGATTCTACTCCCGCAGCACCAGCATTTCGTCCTCTTCGGTGGGCCAGAGCCTGATCCTACCCGGCGCGGCGGGGGCGAAGATGCGGGCCTTGGCAGAGCACCTGTTTCCAATCGCAGTCATCACGGGGTTGAGAGATGAGCCCCAAAGAAGATACCGTTGTACGAGCTTTGCCCTCAGAGCTCTCAGAATTGTGTGGTTTCTAACCGGCAATGAAGGTACGTATGGCTGCGAAGAAAGAGGCGCACCATCACCACCGCTTTCTGTGCCTGTGGGGTCTCTGTTCTTTGGCGAGGAAGGGTGGGCGCGGCGCGAGGGTGGACTCATCCGCTCTCAAGATCTCGAGAAAAAAGAGAGCGAGACAGAGGGCAAAAAAAGTCTGTCCATCATCGCCAAGAACGTTCGACAGAAGCGGGAAATTGCCGCAGGCGGGCGTACTCCTGTGTAGCTCCTGCTGCTGTGCATCCTGAGTAAAAAGAGCGCAAGGGATTCTTGTCCACTGTGCTGTGTAGAAGTCAGCCTTGTCATCGGTGGTCACAAGAGGCCGTTTGTTTTTGGACACAACGGAAGGAGGTGCTCCAACAAGCAGATGCTGACCTAAATGAACCTCCGGATTATCTGAGTCCTGGTCAAGTAGCTTTCAATCATCAGCCGGGCTGCTAGCCCGCTTGTGGAACGCCATGCCTCTGTTTTCTCTACGCCAATTCCACCGAGCGGGAGTCGATGCCAGGCTCTCACGCCGAACTCCACGCTCTGCTTTGCTGCCCGATTCCCCTGTTCGGTGGCCTTTCCAGCTCGGACGATTTTCAGCAGTGGTACGGCTGTAGACACCAAGTCACTCCGCCCTGCTGGTGACGACTGTCGTGGGGAACCATTTAGAAAACGAGTACAGACCACGTGGAAAACGAGTACAGATATCCCGCTCCGCCGTTCCTTAGCAAGCACCCACCAGCCGCGTCTCTAGATTCACCGGGAAGAGAGGTCCAGGTCTATTCGAGGATCCGGGCTGTTCAGACCGCAGCTGTATTTGTGCTCTTATATTTGTAATGACACCCATTGGAAGAAATATGCAGTTGAAATGAAGGATGATTCTCGGGTGGTGATCAGTACGGATATGACCTGCCTGCAAAATGCAAATGCTGCAGCGGTCTTGAACTTGCAGTCTGGTTTTCGATTTGAGTATGACCCGCAACTCTTCACTGGTGATAAGGATGACGAGGATGGCGGGGAGGAAGTTGGTATGTCACTTTTTGACAATATTCAACATGCACTTACGGAGCTCGTGTCTAACTTATGCGAAGACGTTGGAACCCAATTTCACGTGGTCCAGGAATGGGTTTTTGCAGTGTTGGATGAATTTGCTGAACAATTGAATTCTACTGTAGAAGGTCCAGATTACCTCCCGCATACTGGCCCTATCGATTTCAGAGACGCTCATACAGCATTCAAGGTGCTTCAGAAAAAAGTAATTTTCACTAGATTAGACAAGGCTGCAAATTTTATTTGTGTAATGTGTAAGGCTTGCTATATTAGACTAGCTGAAACGGAAGTGAATGGGGAGGGTTATGAAAAGATGACTGGAGGCACATTTGAAGAAATTAAAGAAGCCATCACCGATCGGCAAATTGGATTTCTTGATGATGAACATCTACCGGCCAACAAAGAATGTTTTCGAAATCCGGACACGAATAGGCGCAAGTCTAGGAAAACCCAAAAACAACCTACTAGGTATCTGCTGCCTAAACTCCATAAGGATAAGGTAGCTTGTCGAAGTATAACCACATGCTGTGCTACTACTACGGAAGGGGCGGAAAGAATAGTGCATACGTGTCTAGCTGAAATGCTGCCAGTTTGTGATGCATTGTGGAGAGAATTTGGTAGCTCCATTGGAATTGATTCCCTCAGTAGTTGGATTACTAAAGGTGGAGAAGAAATCCTGGAGATTTTATCTGAGGCAGACCAGATGGCACGTTCGACTGGTGATTCTGCCCCACATGTTGTGGAAACATATGACTTTGTTGCCATGTATACTAGCATACCTCTGTCTACTCTTTTAGTTCAATTGAAAGAATTATTGATTTGGTGTTTGACTTCCAATTTCGTGATTCTGGATATCGTTCAATTAATGTACAATATGGCTTCAAGAGTAGTTATCCTTTCATCATCAAAGAAGTACATTGGTCAACGGAGGAACCGGGTGCAGCTAATTTGGAAGTCGCGAAGGAGAAGACATTTCTTGTTGGGAACGAACGACTCTTCAAGTGGTGTGAATTTGTTTTGACGGAAGGTTATGTTCAGTTTGGACCTCATATGTATCGCCAGTCTTCTGGCATATTTATGGGATCCTCACCTGCACCCGATTTTGCCAATATATTTGCTTCCATGCATGAACTAAGGTTTTGTAAAGTGATGGTTGCAGAGTTCCGAGAAACACAACATAGTGGTCGTACCCATTATATGTACCCTCGAGTGTTCATTGAACAATATGGCGTAGGGACTAAGAGAGATATTGATGACATCATCACTATCACTTTGGCCTCACAAGCCAATGGTTTGAGACTTAAGCATGTCATATATAGTGGTGATACTCCGTACGATCCAATTGGCATAGGCATGAGTGAAACGTTAGGAGGAATGTATGACCGACTGATTAGTGATGGCGACGGCAATCTCATCCCTAACAGTATTGAGTTGACCCAGGAACAAGTAGGACATAGTGCGCACTTTTTAGATATGGAAATAGTCCAAGACTTGGCAGGCTCTCAAGTGCAAATGTATGATAAACGAGACACGATGAGTTCTCTGAAGTCGTATCGCCGATTCCCCCACATTGAGACTAAAACTAGTTATCATTCGAAGTATGCTGTATTACATAGTCAGTTGTGTAGATTTGTAGTTCGTTGTACACGTATTGAATATTTTGAGCGAGCGGCAGCTAAGTTGATGAGAGATATGTTAACACACCATTACAAGGTGAATCTTTTAGGCACTAAGCTACACAATTTTCGTCAGGTCTTCTTTAGGAAATCACGCATACATGTTAGGGGTTCTTGGCGTACAGAAGCCAGAATACAATTTTGGTATCAAGTAGAAAGTAAGATTTGGTATCTTGTTTACCATGGGGTCGATTTATGACTTTTATTTTCTTGACTTGTGGGGGCAAGGGTAGATTAAGA